ACCCAATGCGTGGTTCCACTGTGTGAATAAATAACTGTGCCTCAGTGAGCATCTCTTATCCGTGAGGTAAATGGTAACGTACTCTGTCATACGATCACTTGACCTTTGACAAAATGAGTTTTTTAATGTAAATGGAAATATGTGGACGTAGCGCTATCACGACTGACAGTTTCATGAAAGAATAAATTTAAGGCAGGCATAACAGTATGTGGAACGTCTCGCATAAATACACAAGGGTAATGTTATGTTGTGGGAGCGTGTAACCACATACTGTAGCGGTCTGAATTATTTGATTTATATTTTTCTTAAAGAAAATGCGTGGAATATCTGAAGGGAACAGATCGCTTGAAAGATCTAGACTTAGATGGCTGTTAATTTCTTGAGGTAAAATCTCGGCCATAAAATTAGTTATTTTTCTTCTTTAGTGAAATATACATACAATTTATTGAAACTCTCTGTGTAAAATAATATTTCTTGCTAGTTCAATAGAACAAATTTTGTAAATTAAACAAATTTCTTATTCTACTAATAAGTATTTATTCAAAATATGGCGATTTTATAGTAGAATAGAATGCATCTCCATTAACTAGTGAAATATTTACCATGATCCATTTAAAAAAGCAACACTGAATTGTAAAAAAGAAACCAATATTTTAAGTTAGAAGGGCATCCATTTACTATTAAGTTAAAAATTATTTGTGACAAAATATATATTAGGATTGTAATACACACCAACTTCTGAATTCTCAAATTTCTTCTGCTCATCTATCGATCCAGCTGTGAATAATGAAGTTGTTATACCCACAATCGATAATGGCTGGGTTGATGCTCTAATTGGATCATAAAATCTTATTTTGAACGGGAGACACGTGACAAATAACCTTCCCATGCTTCACATCAGCATCCTGCTTTACCAACTTCAGCGCACACGCGATCCATCATTTCAAAATGTAACGAGAGTTGAAACGTGTTGTTTTTGATTTTTCATAACTCAACGGGCATGGTGTTCATTTATTGTGGCTTCAAATCTATTCTTATACATTTAAATCTGCTATTGTAAAGCTAATCACTATATAGATTAATCATACAAGAATAAGAAATAATTAGGCTTATCTAAAAGTACTTTAAATAAAAGTAGTAGTAATTAGCTCTAAGGGTTATATGAAGGGCCAATGCACTGTAGGATGATCAGATTTTTGATAAAGTCATAAGATTTAAATTTCAGCTTCAGGTTAAACAGGGGTTACATTGGATCTACAAGGAAACAAATAAAATTTTAACTACAGCTTCAGCGTCGATTCTCAATAAGAAGTTTGGTCGAAATGCGTTCCACACTTCTGAGATGAAACAAGCGGACGGACATCACCATCTGCATAGTCCGTGTTAATCTTACACAACTCATGGAAAGACAACACATTAACAATAGGTTCAGGAAAAATGCTTTACAAATTAATAGTTATACAAACTTTTTGTCTACATCTATGTCCGTTCAAATAATATACTATACCTCCACGCATTCACAGCTCTAGGTAGGACGTAACCTGTGGGGTAGGTCGGTGATATTAAGAAAGTTAAGATGTTATACAGAATACCGAATCAGAAGCAGAAATAGTTTTTAGATCAGAATATGGAATTCTATGAGCGTATACAGTCAAGTACACTTAATGAGTTACGAATTGTCTCGGATTTGAAATCGGTGATAAAATATATATACCATGAAATCTGTCAGACCTAAGAAGTTAAAACTTATATCAGATTTTGAATATGTAAACATTTTTAGGAGTGGGATTTGAGGTTTTGACGACGATGAGGCTGTCTTCAGGGTTTTTGCTGCTTATAAGTCATCGTCATAATGATGGAAGCAGAAACAACCTCTGAAACGTCGGTAAACGTCTACCAGACTAGAGGTCAAAACAATCCAAAAGACAGTTATCTTCATTTTCAGGAGTATTAGGAGCAAATTATTTAATTTAAATTATTAATAGGAAAAGTTTAAGAGTGAAAGATATCGATATAACATTACTTGAAGATGACTGTGTTCTCGGTTGTTGCGCAGTATAGACTGGTAGGAATCTGCTGACGTTTCAGAGGTGTCTATAGTACCTCTGAACTGACCATCGTCATACTCACCGCAGTAATAATCTATAATCTCATGTCAGTTTTTATGTTTACTAAAGTTTTCTACTTGAAATAAAGTGCCGTAAAATACTTTTAGAAGTTTAAGACAGGGTAAATATAATACGTATTTGCTAGGGTATAACCATGGGTAAAAACAAGGTTTGTTTTGAAGGGTTTATTCCTTCAGGATAAAATTTGTGGAAGTAGAAATTAAGTGGCTCTCAGTCACAAAGAGACGGTTCAATAACCTAAGAAAGTAAATTAACTTGTTCCCTTTAATCCCCACTTCAAACAAGTTTGCTTCAATGTACTAATATCCGAAGTGGAAGCAGATGTAAGATGAAGAAAGCTTCTTCAATACACTCTCATCAGTTTGATGACAAAGCAGTAATTATATATATATAGTTTTGCGGAGGTTGGGAGGTTTCTAAGTCCTCTGGAGTGAACGTACCTACTAACCGCATTGTGGCAGTAGTTTCTTGAGCCAAACGGTGCGACATTGATCCTTTACAGTTTCATCGAACAGAGACACAATCATTTCTCGCTGAAGGGGTGCGTGGCTCTTAGAAACGCAAGCGAGGAGACCATCAAGTGGGTTATTAATGTGGTCATTTCCTTTTCTAGTTCGTGAGCTTCACAAAGGCGCAGGACTGATTTCTCCGTCAAGACATTCATAACTACTCTGGTTCCTGTTCTTAGCCTATCAAGCGATACTGAAGTCACAAGTGTAAAACTGACCACCCACGTGACTGCTGAAGTTAATATGAGCAGAATTTTACTTTCAATCCCTCCACCCTATACACCTCCCCTGATCCTTGGGCAAGGGGATTATTCATTCACCGTTCATTTTACGTATATTTTATTACTTTCCTTTTGTAGTAATCCTTGGATTTTGCAACTCATTTTACGACGCTGTCTTAACTACTATAGACAGTACCTATGTGAGAATAATTAAATTATGCGTTGAAATGGCTGCTGAAGGAAGAGGTATAAACTTATTTTAAGGTCTCTAAGCAAATTTGTATGAATATACTGAGGAGAACAAGGAAAAACTCGGGCACTACAGCCAACACCCGCGACGCGAATGAAACAATTCCCTAAATATGAAACATGACTACTAACCACTCAACCGAGAATTTGAATATACGAAAAAAATTCATGACGTATTTAAAAAAATTAAGGTGCAGTGGTAACATTATGTATCGGCTGCTTAAACTTTAAGTAACTCTATATATTGTGTTGGCGGAGTGTATTTATGGAATTTTGTATTATTCTAAGAATAAATAAATACTATTATTTTCAACAGTATTAACCAATTAATCTTTGTAATGGAGAGGCACTGTGCGTTGTATGAGGAGGAAAATTAATGTTTAAACATTAATTAGATGAGCTTCGGACTTCAAAGGGCCAAGAAATTACGAGCCCAAGTACTGTAAGGTTCCAACTGGGTACCGGTCAATACTATAACTAAACTATCTTAAATGAAGCCCTTCCCAGTGCTGGGTCAGGTCGAGGTATGTTAATGTGTCTGGTTAAGTAAGTCTAAATATGATGATTATTATTTGCGTGAAAGCATTATTGACATGAAGAATCAAACAGATAAAATTTCACAGGCTTACAAATTCGTATTAGAAATACGTGAAGCTAAAAATATTATACATTAATAAAATGAATCCAGAATTCTCAACAAAGTTACGATGTGTCTGTAGGATCCATTTACAGCTTAAAAATGTAGCGACTATAAATTAAAATGAGAATAGTTATGGAAGCAGTTCTAACATGTCTAAATACTATCTATGATGGCATCTTCTTGGAGGGAATTACTTTACGTTGTAAACGCTTTTACCATACATGAGGTATGTTTAAAGAGACACATGTCTTTACCAGTGAGTTATTGTGTTTATTTAATTGAATTTTTTTTCCCGATTATTTCCAAAATATTAAATATTAAGGTATTAAAGACAACAATTTTATTTCCACTTCTGAAACCTCGGTAAACGTCTACCAGACTACACGGAGCTAACATCTCAGAAAACATTCATCTTCTATTCCTCGCTTGAGGAACTGAAATCCCACCAATTTTAAAAGCTATTTTGGATGGATGTTAACAGAAGAAGATCGTAAATTCCAGATGTCAGAAAAAGGACTTCTCAGGAACAGATTTTGAACTAAGACAGTCGAGATAAATGAGGTTGGAAAAAGTTACTACGCGACGAGAAACTTCTTTGTTTATAAACGAAAACTTGTAAAGACAGGGGATTGAAAAAAGAGGTTAGTGTATGTAGTTTTGTTAGTGAAACTAAATATATACAACAGAAATTTTGAGGGTAAACCAACTGAGAGCTCCCATTAGGACGAATGTTGAAGATGAGAAAATAATGGTAAAAAAGTTATACAAGAAATAGGTGGAATTATTTCAGGAGCGTGTCAAAAGGTGGCCTTCGGTACTATCAATGTTAAACTTTATGGTTTCGCAGCCTACTTTTAAATTCTACTTCTCAGTACTCTACAGTATAAAACACATGTACGTATCTAGCATATCGGTCAAACAGTTCCGGTCAGTATCAGAACACGTGATCCAGCAAAGAATCGGACCGGAAACGAGACTATTAAAATACTTGAGAGTAATGTGAGAACACTGTTGAGAATATGTGGAGATATATCAGCCAATTCTATGGTAGTGTTGAGTTTGCCTTGGAGGATTGTATTTCGGAAGATGGTTGATCTAAGAGTCATTCCAAAGCTATTTGGATGTACATTACTCAGGATTCTGTCCATAATTCGACACAAAGAGGCCTTCGACCGAAGGACTGAACACTAGTTACCCAAAATTATGTCTTATGACAGCGTTCAAGAAACTGAGTTGAAAATTTCTGTTTCAGGATGGGCGTGGAAGGCAGCGGCTGCAGGAGATGAATGCAAACCTTCCCTACCTGCAGACAGCACAGAAAGGTTTCGTGAAAACGGATTTCTTTCGCCTTGTGAAGTTTGGAAAAATCTGGATAATTATTTGAGTAAACAAACTACAGACACATATACTACGAAAATATTTATGTATACAATATGTATATTGAATCCCAGTCACTCCTCCCATCCTACCTTGTTACAAAGGCCTAAAATGGAAAGAAATTTTGGCCTATAAATCGTCATTTGCTTGTATATGTAAGTAAGCAATATTGACTAAATTAACTATCAATTAGTAAATGCTCCTGTTGTCAACTCTTTTAACTTACACACTTGCTTTGGAATGATAACTCAGTTATCTTTATTGATGTTACTAATTGTGTGGTGAATGTTGTAAGCCCCAGGTTAAAAGGTGTATGTGAAAAAGTCCCATGTAATGAGAACTCAGTAGCTCAGAGAAGTACACGTAGATTATATCAGTTAGGTTTACATGTGTAAATCAAGGAGGAGAAACATTCGAATAGCAATTGTCTGCGTTCGTATGTCTTGCGTAGTGAGTTGTGTTATTCCACGGTCTATGTTCAAAATTTGTGCATTAGCTGTGTAATTTTTGCTATTCGTCAGCTATTAAGAGGCCTTCGGCCACCACTTTTGCTGTTGAGATTATCCGAACTATAGTATATCAAGTATATCTTCTGAATTGAATTGTTGACGTTGGACTGAGGTAATACAGAAGACCTGTCTGTTGTCAATCCTGACAACAATTGTTCGGATCCATAATTATTTAACGATAAGATCGCATGGAAAGAAGAATGGAACTCTACACACCAAAGTAAGGATATCTAGGAGCTACGTAGTCGTCATCAAAATCTATCAGTCAGTGAGTAAGGCCCTTTTTTTGGTCCGTTCCGGTTCATTCTTCTAGAATTATCTTTAAAGGTGTACATACGAAATGCGTATATGGCAACTCGCTGAACTTCGTTGTAATTAATCGATACACTTTATAGGATATACCAAAAGTTCAAGTGAAATAATTAAAATTATTATGATTAAGCCAAAATTAATATTTGCATTATTTTCTTTGGATATCACCAATTGCAGGCTAAGAATGAGATATATAGAATTTTAACACTATTTTGACCCTACATGTAGTTTGTGTGTGACGATATCAAAGAAAAGTCTCTTGACACTTCAAGTAAATAACTGCTACAACGTTATGTAATATTAATTTATAAGTCACAAGAAAATATAAGATTTGAATAATTTCCGGCAATAGTCTTTTAGGGCGATCAGCCGTGAGATAACAAAGTTCAAATCCAATGTTTCGGACGTTATATCTGGGTTTATCACCATCCCGCCCTGATAATGGAGGCAGAGGCAGTCTCCGAAACGTTAAATTTTAATTCAATTTTTACACACTATTAGCCCGAAAAGATTTAATTCTCATGGAAACACCATATAGAACTATCTTTCAGCTAAAATATCTAAACATATAAATACAATTTATACGTCGTCAATAATTTAAATTCAGAGACTTTCCTTTTCGATTTTGATTAGATTATGAGAGTTAAAGTTAAAAACTATCAGAAATATTAGCACCACTGCTGACAACTTACAAGTTAGAGGACACGTGGAAAGTTGTTGATACGTCTTCCACATTCCTACGAAACCCATGAAAGAGGTTCTGAAGTGGAGAAGATTCACTCACTGAGTTGACACCATCAAACCTGAAATTTCGAAACACATATTTATTTTATTATATTTCACATTAGAGTTCTTAAATGCCGGAATTTTATTCGTCGAGTGATATAAATAATAACATAATTCATTCTGTGATAAATTGTTTCAAGGAGAGTTTACCACAAATGTTTATCAATCGGTAATTGGTCTGGTTTACTTCTTTGTTATGAGTCTTATTTACATGAAAATAAACCATTTTTATAAATTACAAAATATGGGTTACTTAGAGCAACGCGTAATTTCGGCTTCGGGGATAAACGGCATTGCCATCTTCAAGGTGAATGTCTGAGGGGGGTGGATTAGACAGCTGCTGTGGTGCACTGACAGTGGGAATTGAGTGGGACGCAATACATCAATCATTCCAGCAAATATTCGACTCGATATATCCCTGAAAGCAATTTATCCATTATAAATCCAGCCTTGAAAACCAAGGACAAGAATTACTCAGATAAAGTTTCAGCTTAACAGAGAATTGCTGAAATCTTCATGTTTCGGTAGAGTCCAGCTTTAATACACGTTACTATTTGTATGTAGAGAAATTTAATCTTCATTTCAAAATAAAAGTTTCTAGGCTTAGAAGTGAAGTTTGAATGCTGTGTATATGAATTATTGTGTTTGAATCTATCAGTCAATGTCACCCTGTAAAAGAAGACGTATAATAAGCGCCCATGTTACTCTAAATTTTCTTTATTAATCCCAAATTATAATCTCTTGCTCATTATTCACCCCTCGTCGTTTCTTTTCAGATAGAACGAAACAAGGATTTTCAATTCGACACATAGAGACAAACATGAGCCCCTTCAAGCCATGATTATTAAAGCAGCAAGAAACTGTAAACTGACATGGCTTAATAAATGCCTTTGTGTGTCGCTGAAATCGTCTTTTGTTCTTTACTGAGAAGTGAGGGAAGTTGAACACTGGATTCTAATACGGTATTATTTAAACTTTACCTAAA